GCCTGAGTTCAATCTCCAGTTCTGCCAAAGGAAAAAAAAAAAAAAGAAATGTCTGTTAAAATCTATCACTACCCATTTTAAAATTGGATTCTCTGTGGCTGTAAGGGTTCATTAGATAGTCTGATTATGAAACCTACAGGAAATATATGAGTTAAACTACTTTTATAGTAGACACAAATACTGTGAAAATAGAAATCTGGAGAGGACACACGATGATGCAGGAGTCAGACTGGCTTCACAGCTACTGTGGCCCGGGCGGCGGTTAGGCAGGCGGCACTCAGTGCCCTGCGCGAGAGGGAGCTCTGCAGCTCTCGGTGGCTGGCATTTAACACAGAACCAGGCACAGAGGTCCGCAGTTGATACTGAATGATTAAAATTAGAGTGTGTATATATATATATATATATATATATATATATATATATATATATATATAATGAACTCAGGTTGTCCCATTAGTTCTGAAGCACATTTTGCCTTTTTTTTTTGTGGTACTGGGAATTGAACTCAGGACCTTGCACTAGCCAGGCAAGTGCTTATTCTACTGAGCTAGCTCCCTGGCCCCTGTGAGGTGCATTTTGAAAGCACTCTTTTTATTTGTATTTGGTGTTTTCACACTATGACTCTTGTTTTGTTTATCATTGAAGTATTTATATATGTGTTTTTACAGAAACCTTTAATTTAAAAATGTAGCATCTAATTAATTTTAGTACTTTTAGTTTGTTGGAAGAAAGCATAGAACCCGAAATGAGCAATGTAGAAGGCAGTGTTATCAAAGGCCGTCTACCAAGATCTAGGTGTGGAGCGCACGTGGGAGACTGAGATAGGAGGATTGCCAGGAATTTGAGGCCAGCCTGGGCTGCATAATGTACTCAAGGCTGAAAAAAACAACAAAGGAAAAAGAAAGATAAAAATTCACAAAAGAACCTTTCAATCATTCATTTCATTTCTTAGTGCCATTCAAACTACGGTTCAGTCCTACGAGTCTAGAAACAAAGATGAGAAGCAAAAGTTTGTAAGAGCAATCTAGTGCTAAGTGAAGGAGGCCTCATCTTTGTAGCAAGGTAGAGTGTATTGGTGGCTTTTAGTAGTAAGAAAAGTTTAGAGTTCTTGTATGTCAGATCAAGCGCAGAAAATTTGTTTTCTTTTCCTCCCTTGCCCTTTCTTTCCTTCCCTCCCTTTCTCTCTTCTTTCCTCCTTCCCCTGTCCCTCCTCTTCTCCCCACCTTCCTTCCTTCCTTCCTTCATTAGATACCTCATTCTTATTTATTTATTTGTTTATTTATTTTGCAGAACCGGGGATTGAACTCAGGCCCTTGTGCTTGCCAAGCAAGCACTTATTCTACTGAGTCATATCCCCGGCCCCAGATACGTGGCTTTTAACTGTAGCTTTGCCACTTACTGGCTGCGCAAATTGTCTTTTTTTTGGGGGGGGGGGCAGAACCAAGGATTGAACTCAGGCCCTTGCGCTTGCCAAGGAAGCGCTTGCGCAACTTGTCTCATGGCCTCCGAAGCCAGTTCCTCTCCTTTGACTTTCCTGAACTTAACAGTTTTACCTCTTTTTTAGTGTGTTTGTGTTCTCTACCTGGATCCCCCGCCCCAGTCCTATTTTTGACTGTCTTAAATGCTTAAGGCTTTTAGATTTCACCACTGAATCTGGATGAGATTGCATCCCCTGTTTTGCACTCTTAAGAGTACTTTTATATTTATTGTGATTGTACATTCAGCAATACCTTTCAACAAATACTTATCGGGTGCTTAATAAATCTTGTATTTATTTGTACATTTCATTAAGGTAGAATGGCTGTGGCTTACGTTTATTTTCTATGGCCGTGTGCCACAGCAGGTAAGTGTTTAGACATAGGTAGTATTGAGTGGTGGCACACACATAATCCCAGCACTTGGGAGGCTGAGGTGGGAGAATCACCATAAATTTGAGGCCACCTTGAGCTATGTGGTGAGTTCAAGGCCAGCCTCAACTACATAGGTCCAGTCTCAAAAAACAAAAACGAAAAACATAAATAGTACTCAATAAGTAGTCCCTGAATGAAGACACAAGGATGACGTTAGTAGTACTGTCCACATTACAAGACTGTGGTGACCCTTCGGCGGAATCCACGTATGAGCTCTTTAGCCTGCGTGCAGCATGGTTGTGACCAGCTGCTCTGGCCCTGTGGACCTGTCACTGTAGACACACAGCTCCCATTTGCAGTTACCCCACTTACTCGTTCTGTGTAGGTGATTGAGTTTGTGATTTATATTTTACATGTTAAATAATAATAACCTTATAGGATTTGTAAGGGTTACATGTGACAGTGACATTGAAGCCCTTCATTTATAGTGAGCGGTTCCTTAATAGATGCTGATTTTGTCGTGGTTAATGTGGTAATTAGAAGAATAATCGTGAACCAGGCATGGTGGTACGCAGCTGTAGTCCCAGAATGCGGATGCTCAGGCAGGAAGATCACCGCGGTGTGAGGCCTCGAGGGCGTGCACAGTGAGCTCGAGGCCAGCCTGAACTGCCTGGTGAGGTGTTTTCAGAACAGAGCAGAGCAGGGAGGCTGGAGTGGCTCAGTGGCACAGCGCTTGCCTGGCATGTACATGGTCATGGGTTCAGTCCTTTATTAACCAAAAGGATAATAAATACCTTTAAATTCTGTTAAGTAAGTTGCAACCCTTTCCATCTCACCGCACCTCTTTGTCAAAGAAGGGCACCTGTCTGTGTGTCCCTGAGGAGAGTCTTCGTAGGCACTGTTGGCACTGCAGGACCACCCGCCTAGAGTAGCTGGTGCTGCCCTCCAGGCTGTTCAGCAGGAGGCCCAGGAAGGTGCTCACGCTTCAGCTCTGCTCCCTGAAGGAGTGGGTGACCTTCCGCCTGGGTGTCGGGGTAGATGACAGGCTGGTGTCCTGGGCAGGGCCAGGATCTGCACTCCCCTGCTCGCAGCACCCGCGAGGCTATCCTGGATCCTGGATCCAGAGGTCTCCAGCCCCACTCTCCACCCCCTGCCCCTGCTCCCACTGCCAGACACAGGAAGACCACAGTGCAGCACAGGAAGACTGTGGCCCTGGAAGAAAGGGAAGCAGAGTGGTGTGAGGAACATGGGGCTCCTATGTGAGGTCCTGTGCAAGGCCTGGCAGTGAGCCATTAGGCTCGCCTGGAGACAGAGGTGCGCTTTGCCACCGCCATCCCCCGGGCACCCTTTCCCGGGACCCCAGTCCCCTCCCCCCATGGAACCATAGCAGCCCCAGCAAGAAGGTGACCTCTGCAGAAACTGAGCACAGGCAGGACAGAGCCAGCAAGGCCTACTGCCTCTTCCCAGAGGGGAGGCTGAGGCTTGAGGGGCAGGGTTGCTGATCACAGCCCACACTGCCCAGCCGCCATCAGCACTGTCCCCACCAGGTAGCTGGGGAGGTGGAGGACCAGGGTGTGGGCCAGCACCCCCCAACACACACAGCTGAGTTGGCCCACCCTGCCCAAAGGGTAGGAGGGTAGGAGGGGCTGGCACCATGGCCTTGGGGGCCTGCCCAGCTCGGGCTGCCTAGGAGGTAAGGGCAACTGGTGGTGTGGAATTCTGTACTCAGTTCAGGGCCAACCTGGACTACATTGCAAAGGCCTGTCTCAAAAAAAAGGAAGAATCCATAAGTAATTCTTAAAAGCAGCCTGTATGTCCATTGATAGATGAATGGATAAAGAAAATGTATTTACACATAGTGGATTTCTCTGCCAAAGAAAAGGATACACTTCAGTCATTTGAGGGAAAATGGGTGTACCATAAGACTGTAATTTTAAGTGAAATAAATCAGCCACATGAACTTAAACATCACAAGGTTTCTCGTATATGAGAAATTATAAATAAAGAGCAAATTAAAAGACCATGGTCTTCCTGTGCTGCACGGTGGTCTTCCTGTGTCTGGCAGTGAGAGCGGGGGCAGGGACTGGAGACCTCCGGATCCAGGACAGCCTCGCGGGTGCTGCAAGCAGGGGAGTGCAGAAGGTAGGAAGGGAGGTCTTTACACATGGGAAGGGAATCGAGGGATGGAGGGAGGCCAGGGTGAGAAAGAAGGTGAAAGAGGAGTTAAGATTTTATGCGCATAGAACAGCTTCACACAAGGAATGTAAACACTGTGTCCTGCAAATATATACCAAAAAAAAAGGAAAAAAACAAAACCCAAAGCCCAAAGATGCAGCGCTGTGCTCCCGAGGCCCGGTCTCCAGTACTGAGAAGGAAGGTAGAAACAGGACCATCCTGGAGGGCACCTTGGCCTTTTCAGTGGCCGTGTGCTTTGCGGATAGTGCTTCTGCGTTTGGGCGGTGCTTGTGGTCCTTCCAGCCTGACCCGACACCGCAGGGCCGTGGGCGTTTCATTTGCCGATTCGAACCGAAAAGAGAAAAAGCATGCTGAACACAAGTGAAAGCACGTGATTACAGAAATGTCCATTTTTTCCTAATTTATATATTTAAAAATTTACTTGTAAGCATTTGATACTTTAAAACTGGGGAGAAAAAAAACTGGGGGGATAAATTGGCGGTCTGAGCACCTGCCTGGCAAGGTAAGGACCCGGGTTTAATCCCAGGTGCCACATGCCATGCCAGCCCTGTGACCTGGGTACACTCTGCTGGCTGTCAGAACTGGGTATGGTGGTGCACACCTATAAACCCAGCACAGGGGAAGCTGAAAACAGGAGGATTACTAGGAGTTTGAGCTGCATCGTGAGACCCTGCACCACATATAAATAAATAAATAAATAAATAAATAAATAAACCAACCAACCTTATGGGAATGTGGTCTAAGCTATCATATCCAGCCCTTGTACTTTATATTTGACTTATGTTCCTTACATCTTGGTCATGTCACCATGATTTGTGATTTTTTACTTTCATCAGGTGGGGTTTGTTTTATACAAAGATAATTGCATATATAAATGTTTCTATAATGGCATATAAATGTTTGTGGCGAGAGATGCGCAACCTTCCTGTGGCTGACAATACGCCTTTGTTGCAGGCTCAACAGAACAGCCCCTCCTCTACAGGGTCTGGCAACACAGAGCACTCCTGCAGCTCCCAAAAGCAGATCTCCATCCAGCACAGACAGACACAGGTGGGCTGGGCACTGGGCAGCCGTGGAGAGGGTCCGCCGGGAGCGGACCTCCCTGTAGGGAAAGCCTGGGCTTCCTCTCCCATCTTCTCTGTTGTTTTGACCATGCCTCATCAGTTCTGTGCATTCAAAACCTATCTTAAGAGTATTAAGGTCCTTTGGAGGTTGTTCGTAATGTCTGAGGCCTATCTGTACCTTTTGGAGATACTGTAGCAGAAATTATACTGCAGCATGGTGTTGAGTTTGGGCTCCTCTGGACCTGGGTTCTAATTCGGGCTGTGCCACTTAAACACTTGTATATTCTTAGGGTTCAGCCTCCTTTAATAGTGATTGTTAAAGAGTACAAGTGGTTAATTCCAATTACCATAGCCAATGTTTACAAAATCCTTACCAGAGTAGTACTTAGAGTATGCTTTCTATAAATGTTAATTCCCTACTTGAGGAAGTTAGTAATCCTTATACCTGCTTGTATCAGGATCTGACTGAAGTTCTTTTGAGATGTGCAACGTAGTTTCCTTCTTAAAGCACTCCTCAACCGCTTTTTAGTTTAAGGGATGTTGTGAACACCTAAAAATTGTATCTGAGAAGGACAGTCACTGTGTCCTGCGCCTGCAGCACTGTCAGCTGACAGAACACTGCGTGTTGCTGCCCTTCCTTTGGCACTGTCTGCATTACTTTCAAGACGGGATGCTGAGCAGTCTAGAGTGGAAATCTCCAGAGTTGTACAGCTCCAGGGCAGATTCTAATGTTACGTACAGTTGCTGTGTAATAAAAATATGCTGACATGTAATATTTTAAGACATCTTAAATTTGTTTTGTCTTTGTCTCTGTAGTCTGACCTCACAATAGAAAAAATATCTGCACTAGAAAACAGTAAAAATTCTGACTTAGAAAAGAAGGAAGGAAGAATAGATGATTTATTAAGAGTAAGTATTAAAATGTAAGAGATTTTATTTTAAGGATCAGTTGTTATATATGTTTGGATTATATGCATATCATGGAAATAATTACTCCAGCCAGATAAAAGTTAAGCAGTAAACGCTTTGATATTTTCCTTTAATCTGAAGAAATTGAAGTAAGAGCCAAAAACATACGTACATTCTAAACATTATATTTAGGTTAGAAATCTTGTATTGCAGCATTTTAGTATTTGAATTTATGCTAGAGAAATAGCCATGTGACTGCTGTATGGGAATGAGTATAAAATGCCGCTTCCGCAGTTGAGAGAGCAGTTACCGCAGTAGTAGTCTTGGGCTCGCCAGCCCCACTGCAGCCTGCCTGCCCGCCTTCTGTGCTGTTTCTCCTTCTGTGTGTCTTGCTCTTCCTTTTGCGATTGAACCCAGAGCATCCATGTTTCGCCACCTCCTCAGCCCTTTATTTTGAGATGTGACCTCACTAAGCTTCTCAGGCTGAGCTTTAGCTTAAAATCTGTCTCAGCCTCCCAGAATGCTGAGATTACAGGGATGTAGCACCATCAGAGCAGTACTTCATATTTTAAATTTACAGAATATCTTTATAAAGATTTTTAAAAATGTGATTACTCACATTTTTAGTATTTTGTTTTATTTTAATGTGATTGTCCTTTTTCTGAGCCTTGTTAACTATCTTCTATATATTTTTGCTGTTTATTTGCAGCTTATGTCAGTTTTACTTTTTTATGTCAGTGTTTTGTTTGTTTGTTTACGGAACCGGGGATTGAAATCAGACCCATGAGCTTGCCAGGGAAGCTCATCCTACTGAGCCACATCCCTGGCCCCTTTTTACATCAGTTTTATTTACGCATTTTTACTTGTTTTTTCTTCCCTTATCTTGTATACTTTCTTTCTTTTTTTCCCGGAAGCTGGGATTGAACTCTTGTGCTTGCCAGGCAAGCGCTTACTCTACTGAGCCATCTCCCCGGCCCCTACATCTTAATCCCTTTTCTTCCCCTGTACCCTCCCTTTCCTTTTTCCCCTCCCTCCATCTCTTGGTCTACTTCTCATTCTTTCTGTTTAATAAAAGAAATAGTCCAGGGAGAGCCCCTGGCAACTTCAGGCAGTTTCTCTCAGTGCGAGCGTCTTGCAGAACTTGAGTGTGCGGTCTCGCCACAGCCAGCTGCGCGTTGGCACCGTTGGCATGACCCCGAGTCTTTCGTGTTCTCTTGTAGCCACATCCTCTCCCTGGTAGCCCACTTTCTCTTCAGCCTTGGCAGCCACTAATCTCCATTTCTGTCATCTTGTAAGAAGGCCGTGTGAGCGCAGCCATGCAGAGAGGACAGTTTGGGATGGGCTTTTCTTCCTGCTCAGCACAGTTCCTTCCGATAATCCACTTTCTGCTCGGTGTATTCTCTGTGGTTCGTGGCTTCTACTTCATAAGTGTGCCTTGCATTTTTGTGGAATATGACAATCAGTACTCTGTTTGTTTTTGTGGTCATTTGTAAGCTGATGTTCCCGCCCCTTAATTCGAAATACATTCCTTAGGACAGTTTTTTTTTGCTGTTTTATTTTGTTTTCTTTCAACTTCAAGGTGAGCGTTGTATAGACTAGTACCAGTCTTGTGTCTCCATTGTTTCATATATACTTGCTTAGAGTTCCTCTGACTGGTTCTTGTTGGATTAGGTGGTGATTGAGTTGCCATCTATAACTTACAATGAAATAGCTTGTGAATGCGAGAATTCCTGGCCACGTTACAGTGTCTGCTAGGGCTCTGTCCAGAGTGGCTCTGAGGGCTGACCAAGGCTCGTAGGCTTCTGTTCTCCATCCTAACGATGAGCATTACAGGGCTGAGGGAGCAGGCTCTGTGAGGGAGTGCTCACCCGACGAGCCCGAGGCCCTGGGTTCCCGTGCCCACACCGGGAAGGAGACAAGGAAAAGCAGAGGTTGCAAAGCTGGAGTGTGTGGAAAGCTTAAATTATAACTTGATACTGATTCTTGGGTTTAAAGAAATATCTGCTCTAAGTCGTATATGTTCCTCTCCACTGCCTCTTCTACTGCATATTCTTTCTCCATTCTTTGCTTGGTGCTTGTCTTCCCTCCCTCCCTGTCTCCCCTCAGGATTGTACACAGCGTACTAAGTACCTACTCAACTGCTGAGCCACGTCACATCTCTGCTGTATTTTGAAGGCTATAGTTTTTATTTGGCTATAGAGCAGTACTAAAGGAGTGGATAGGTAAAGAAGGAAGACGTGAAAGAGCAATTGCTCATTATTCAAGTTGATTTGAACTTGTATTTCTGGGGCTGGGGAGATGGATCAGTGGAATAAGCACTTACCTGGCAAGTGAAAGGGCCTGAGTTCAATCCCTGGTTCCTCAAAAAACAAAAAAAACAAAAAACAACCCACTTGTGTTTCTGATCTAGAGAATAAGCAGAGCGTGAAAGACCACAGATTTTTAGATCTCCTCCTTTCAGGTAGGCATGAATCAGTTACTTGAGTTTTTCTATTTTATTGAGATACTAGATGCAGCTGCGTTAGGGGGACTAGCTGTGTCCTGTCCTGTCCTGTGCTCTCCTTCCCTGCCTTCCTCTCCTTTCTTGCCCTCCTTTGCTTTCTTCTTTCTTTATTAGCTCCTATTTCAAATATGAAGTAGAAGTCATGACTGTCAGAAATCACAAATATTTAGAGCTCTTAAATCTGCCGTAGGTTAACTGATTCTATACATTTGATTATTTATTTATTTATTTATTTATTTATTTATTTATTTATTTATGGCCAGCTCAGCCCACCCCGGGGGCGGGCTGGTGCAGCATGTGGTACCAGGGATTGAACCGCGGTCCCTGTACAGTGCCTGCCTAAGCCTGCCTAAGCAAGTGCTTGGTGCGTTAGACAGCTGAGCCATCTCGCCAGCCCATTTGATTAGATTTTGAAGGAACACTCACTTTCCAAAAAATCTGATTTCATTTAAATCTTTTAAACCTTGAATTATTTTTTCACTTAAAGATTCTTTAGTATAGTCACAATTAGCTAAATGTAGTTCTACTTAGCCTTTGGTATTGTCCGTAGAACTCTGTAAGAAAATCAGAAAAACTAATAGGAATAGTTGTGCTTATTTGGAAGGTAAAATCATTTGAAGATTTTCTGTTTTGCACAGGTTACTTTAAAAATGAAGCTAAAAAGTCTCAAAAATTGAGTGTACAATAAGATCTTGCATTTGTGACCTTTTTTGTTGTTGTTTTGAGACAGTCCTACTCATCTAGGCTGGCCATGACCTCACTGTGTAGCTTACTTAGGCTGATCTTTGTTGTTAAGTTTTTTTTTTTTTTTTTTTGTGGGAGTGGGTGGGTGGAACTGGGGATTGAACTTGCCAGGGAAGTGCTTATTCCACCGAGCCGTCTCCCCTGCCCCACTTATCATTTAATTTGGAAATAAGAGATTTTTTTTTCATAATATAAGGAAGTTACTGTAAAGTAGCACTATTTATGAAAAGAGTGGACATCTCTTGGTCAACACATGAAGAATAAATATAGGAGTTGCGAGCCAAATTTGACCTTGGGTTAGTGGTTCTTTCCTTTTCTGTTATTGTAGACTGGATTTTTTTTTTTTTAAGTAGGCTTCCTGGCCGGGGAGATGGCTCAGTGAAATAAGCGCTTCCCTGGCAAGCGCAAGGGCCTGAGTTCAATCCCCAGTTCCACCAAAAAAAAAAAAAGTAGGCTTCCAAACACAGCTAAATTAACTATATAATCAGAAAAACATTAAAAAAAAAGAAAAACATGCCTTCTTCTGGTACCAGAACTAATTATTGACAACGAAATAATAGTATTACTAGAACAAAGGAATGAGTCATGTACCTTTTAAAGATATGGTTTCTCTTCTCATTAAACCTGTATTTTGCTTTTGATTTAACAAGATTGAAATTATTTTTCTCTTTACCTAATGATTCCTTTCTATTAATCTAGCTTTCTTGGAACTAATAAAAAAATATTTTTCCATTGAAGGCCAACTGTGATTTAAGACGGCAAATTGACGAGCAGCAAAAGATGCTAGAGAAATACAAAGAACGATTAAATAGGTGTGTCACGATGAGCAAGAAACTGCTTATAGAAAAGGTTAGTGACTGGTGGCGGCCTGAGCCCCACGTGTGCAGTTCTTAATGTCTCTCCTTGTGTGGCTCCTTCTGGCCTGAAGTGAAAGCAGCGAAAGGTAAGGCTCTTCAGGAACTACCTCTTCCGACCTGACAGTTAGAATTTTTTGCGTGTATGCCAAACCAGACCTCCAGAGTGAAACCGTCGGGTGTGCTTTCTGGCTGTTGGTTGCTTTGAGTGTGATGCTGACAGCTAATCCTAGCTGAGTTTATTGGTCTCTTGCCCCTGTGTGTGGGGACCAAACCCAGGCGCTTACGCACGCCAGCCCAGCAGTCACTGAGCCACGCCCCAGCCTGAGATGATGTCCCCTTCGTTCATATACCGGTCCCTTCAGCCGCAGTGAGTACACCACTGCTGCCAGAAACACTTGACGCCAGCCACGTTTCTGTTCTGTAGTGTTTGGAGTCCTCTGTGCATATGATAATGTGATAGTTACGCACTTCATGCTCCAGCAAACTTTGTTTGTGCGTTTGAGACAGAGTCTTGTATGTAGATCAGGTTGACCTTGAACATACTATGTAGCCCTGGCTGGGCTTGCACTCCGTGATCTTGCCTCACCTTGCTGAGTGCTGGATTGCAAGCACGCACTGCCAGGTCTGTCCATAGACTGTCGATGTCTCCTTCATTTGTTGTACAGTGCTGGCCACTGAGTCTAGGACCTTCGCATTACATCTTCAGACCTTTTTTTTTTTTTTTAATTTTGAGATGGAATCTTACTGAGTTGTACAGTCTTCTTGGTACAGCTTCCTACAGTGCTGAGATTACAGGCATGCACTATCACACCTAGCCTGATGTCCCTTTTATTAGAGCAGTTGATCAGTTGTTACTTGGCTTTAATGGTTATTAGTTACTATTTTGTTGACAGTTTCAAAAAGGTAGTGCTTCCTGAAGACGTTATTTTAAGATTGACCTGAAAGTCTGAGACACACAGACGGCTACTTTTCCTGAAATCTTGGGAGTGCTATTACAGAGATAAAAAGCACTTGTCTCCCGCTGAAAGTGAGATGGGTTGCTTTACTGTGGCTGGAGAAACTCAAAAGAACTTTGCTCCATTTTGCTCATTATTCATCAGTTTTATAGAAGGGAAACGTCTTTGTTTAGTTTGGGACACTTTCTAAAATTAACAGAGATTGCACCATTTGTACCAAACTCTGAACAATATAGTACCAAAAAAAAAAAAGTAAGCTCTTGAATTTTTATAGAAAATTAGAATTTTCGGCTGGTGAGATGGCTCAGTGGTCTAAAGCACCTACTTAGAACAAGCTTAGCAAAGCACAGGGACCTCGGTTCAATCCCCCAGCACCACATGCCAGCCCGCCCCGGCCCCTGGTGGGCTGAGCTGGCCACACACACACACACACACACACAAATAAAAATTAAAAAAAAAGAAAATTAGAATTTTCAGGGCTGACCAGATAGCTCAGCGGTCTAAAGTGCCTTAGGCAGGCATTGAGGGACTGTGGTTTGATCCCTGGCACATGCTGTGCCAGCCCTGCTCCCAGGATGGGCTGAGCTGACCAGAAAAAAAAAAAAAAAGAAAATTAGAATTTTCTGTTTTAGGAGTAGGACATAATTAAATTTATTTTATTTTTTTATTTTTTTGGTGGAACCAGGGATTGAACTCAGGCCCATGCGCTTGCCAGGGAAGCACTTATTCCACTAAACCATCCCCCTGGCCCCATAGTTAAATTTAGATTTAGTAATTATCCAAGATAATTCAGTTTTCTAAGCATATAATATATATTAAATATCTGGTATGTCATTCTGAAATATAAGAATACAAATGAAAATATTGCCAGCTTGGGAGGAAATATTTATAGTATTCCCTCTCAGAAAATTTATATTCCAAATCCATAAAGATTCTTATAACTTAATATTTTAAAAAATTAAGTGAGCAGAATATCTTCAATGATACTTACGGAAAAAAAGAAATATAAAGATGCCAGCATGAAAAGATTCTCAACATTATTAGGCATCAGGCAGACTTGAATTAAAACAGCAATTAATTATTACATACCCAGCAGAGACTAAAGTAAAAACCCTTGAGAGTCTCAGGTGTGTGGTATGGATATGTTGGTAGCCCACCTTCTCCCACTGATGGGAATGTAAATATTGAGTTCACTTTGGAAAACTTTTGGGCAGTTCCATTATTATTATTATTATTAATTTTTAAAATCTGTTTGGATACAGGCTATGCAGTTCGAGCTCAAAATGATCCTCCTGTCTCAGCCTCCAGAATGCTGGGATTAAGGCATACACCACCAGGCCTCTTTCAGGGCCCGCATGGCGTGGGATACTGGGGGCCAAACTCGGGGCCTTGCGCTTGCCAGGCGGGCGCTTATACTGCTGAGCCGTCGCCCCAGCCCCGGCAGTTTCTTATTAAGATAAGTGTTTAACATGTGGCTCAGCACAGGGGCTGTTCCTGGTATTTACCCAAGAGAAATGAAAGTAAATGTTGACAAAAGACTTTCACAAGACTATTCATAGCGATTTTATTCAAAATTGCCAAATGTGGGAATACGTGGGAGGAGTCTGGCAACAGAACGTATAAACAAATTGTGGTACGTTTGTGCTGTAGAGTACTACTAAGCAGTGAGGAGGAATGAACTTGTACGTAAAAGCAGCGTACGAGCATCTGCGAAACACGACACGGTGCTCTCAGAGGGCTGCAGTCTGTAGGGGTCAGGGCGGGGTGAGAAATTCGTATCCACAGAGAAACCTGTTAACGTGAGCACAGTGTACTGAACAAGTTCATTAAAGGCAATCACAGGCAGAGGAGCTGTTGAGGAAAGCTAGAAGAAAGTAAGAAAGTGTTCTAGGCAAGGAAAGCTATCGACATAGATTGCTTTACCAGTTAAAATACACACTGTCTCAAGTAACTATCGTTAGAGTATTGAATCTCACAATATTTGTACTTTTCCTTCAAGTTCATCACCAATTTAATTTTAAGTCAATATATTCACTCAATAGGCAGTATCTTTCCCTTTTTTTTTGGTACTAGGGATCAAACTGAGGACCTTGTGTTTCCCAGGCAGGGCGCTTACGCCACTGAGCTATCTCCCCAGCTGTCCTGTCAGTAAAAGCCAGTTTCCCCCATGTACCCTATAAAGCATCCTGTAGTCCCTCTCACATAATCGGTCTTGAGTAAATACATGTGGAATGGATAATGTGCTCAAAAGAGAGCCACAAATATGTAAGATGTCCTGGGTTAGGAATCAGACTGACATGTGCCAGGTGATGTTTTGAGATGAATCGGTGGCAGTTCCCCAGAGCAGACAAGGTGCAGAGGAGTAAGAAATAGTGAGCCAGCTTTGGAGTTAGGCTTTGTTATGGGATGCTGAATGTTGACCAAGAAAGAAATTGCATGGCCAGTTGTGGTGGTGCACACCTGTAATCCCAGTACTTGGGAGGCTGCGGCTGGAGGATTTTATAAGAATTGGATGCTGGCCTGGGCTACATAGTGAGACCCTGTAACAAAAAAACAAACAAGAAGAAATTGCAGTTCTTGACTATTCTGTCTACTTTGAAAATGGCAATATTATGATGTCCAGGGAGTCATTAAAGATTCTCCTGAGTGTGGGTTTGCAAGGGCATTTTCCCTTGGACTCTTAGAATTTTTAGTTTCAAGAAGTGTCTTTGTCTATGATAACTGATGTTGAATTCTTTTCTTCTTCTTCTTTTTTAATCTTCCCCCTTTAGTCAAAACAAGAGAAGATGGCATGTAGAGATAAGAGCATGCAGGACCGCTTGAGGCTGGGCCACTTCACTACTGTCCGGCACGGGGCCTCCTTTACTGAACAGTGGACGGATGGCTATGCTTTCCAGAATCTTATCAAGTGAGTCGTTAGGACTAAATGAAGAATTGAAAAGTTAGGGTTTTTGAGTTTTTATAGGTAAGACATTTGAGCAGAAATTTATAAAAAATTTATGTTGCCATTTGTTAATAAGGCAGTGAGTCATGAAATTTTGTGGTAAAAAAATAAAAGTTTTTTTTTTTCAATTTTGTGGTTCAAGGTCAGAAAGGAATAAAATGAATAAACTTCAGAAGTTCCTCGTTGTCTATCTTTTTTCTAGGGTGGGAGCTGAGAATAGAATTCAGGACTTTGTGCTTGCCACACAGGCACTGTACTTTTGAGCTACGTCCCCAGCTAAATTTACAAATTTCTTTTTCTTTTTTCTTTAGGGAAGGGTCTACAGGTGTTCAGGGTCTCACTACTAACTAGATCAGACTTGTAGTGATCGCCTATTTGCAGCCTTCCAAGAGCTGGGATTACAGGCACTACCATGCCCAGCCCAGTCTCCATTGCTGGCTCAGTGCGCCTCAGGGGCTGGGCCAGCACAGCAGGCCTGAGGATCGAACTCCAATCCACTGAGCTATTTGGCCGACCCCATAAATTTCAAAACATGCTTGGTTTTTGGTTTTTGGGGTTTTTTTTGAGACAGGGTCTTGCTATGCAGTTTGGGCTGATTTTGAACTCACTATATAGCCCAGGCTAGTCTTGAACTTGCAGCTGTCCTCTTGCCTCAGCCTGCCAAGTGCTGCATGTGCCATCATGGCCAACCCATAACATGCATTTTTATCTAAAGGAAAAAAAATAAAATATTTTTCCTACTTCAGAATTTTCAAATAAGTATTTCAGTAAATGACTGAAATGTAATTAAAAATACACAGAAGTATAAATTTAAAATTAAAGTCTATATGAGGTTAGATTTTTGAGGCCTGGTTTTTCCTATTGATTATGTGGGTGTTTTATGTTTGTTTTATTTCTTTCCTTTGGTTTTTTGAAAGAAGGGCTATGTAGTTCAGGCTGGTCTTGAACTCACTATGTAGCCCAAGCTAGCCTCAAATGTACTGTAATTCCTCCTGCCTTGGCCTCTCAATTGCTGGGATTACAGTTATGCACCACCACATCTAGTTCCCAACCTAGAATTCTTTGAAATTAATCCACAAATTATTTCATGTGTGTGGCTGAATAGTGGGAGGGGTAGGCAAAGAACAGCATCTAATGGTAAAGAGACTCCACCCCCCAGGCAAACAAAACTCTTGAACTAATACGTTTACTGTTAAATAGATGTTTAATCAATGATCTGGCTCATTTTGAGTTCAAGTCAAATGGATGCTTATTTAGGTTAACCTTGCCCGCTGTTATCCAGTAGCATAAACTGCACTGTAGGCATGTACCCTAGAGTTGTCCTGTTTGCTTGCTATTCTACGGAGAAAGATACCCTGAATCTGGAAAAGGTGTGATCACTACATTGCTTACAGAAGAGGGTAGAGTGAGCTTTTAAAGATAGATGTCATCATTTTGCAGATGTGAAGATTAGTTCTAGAACAGGAGGTGGGAAAATGTGTGTGTGTGTGTGTGTGTGTGTGTGTGTGTGTGTGTGTGTGAATTAGATTCAGGGCTCTCATACTATGAACTGCACACTAGGCCTTTTAAAATTTTTTAAAATTTGAGACAGGGTCTTGCTAAATTGCTTGGGCTGTGCTGGAACATTTAATCCTCTTAGCTTAGCCTCCCAAATTTGCATGGGTTGTAGGCATACACTATCATCCCTGGGTTAGAATCAGAAACCTTAAGGAATACTCAACCTGTAGGTATCTTACTAGGAAAATGCCAGTAGTAATGATGTTAGATATCAGATGATTTGTAAAATAGTTTTATGCTAAGTCATTTTATGTCACATTCTCTGAAGAGTAATTACTATCTGTAAGACTTCACTGACTTTTTCTGGATATACATTTTTTAAAAAGTTCTTAAGCCAGGCGTGGTGACACATGCCTATAATCTCAGCATTTGGGAGGTTGAGGCTGGAGGATCGATGCAAATTTAAGACCAGCCTGGGCTACAAAGTGAGCTCAAGCCTGGCCTGAACTGCATAGCGAGACCCTGTCTCAAAAAGAACAATAAATAAATAGATAAATAAAAATAAATAATAATAGTAGTGAAAGAAATGAAAGTGCTCAGTTAGATCAGGTATGGTAGTGCCTGCCAGCAGTCCCAGCATTTGGAGACTGAGGCAGGAGCCCAGCAAGCATGAGACCAACCGGTGTACGACACACGAGCAGAGGCCAGCTTGGATTATCCAGCAGGACTCTGTACTTAAAAAACTAAAAACAACTTTGAGGCTGATAAGTAGCTATTTCATTGAATGGGATTGATTCAGAGGATAATAATGTCTTAGTTAGACTGGAGTAAGTGGAAAGCCTAAAATGAAAATCTTATTTTGCGGGCTGGCCAGATAGCTCAGTGAATTAAAGCACCTGCTTAGGCAGACGCAGGGCCTGGGGTTCATTTTATGTCACATTCTCTGAAGAGTAATTACTACTTGTAAGAGTTCACTGACTCTTTCTGAATATACAGTGTGCCGTGCCAGCCCTACCCCCGGGTACACTGAGACAGCAATTGAGACTGGACATAGTGGTGTGCTTGGGAGGCTGAAAATAGGATCGCTGCAAGTCCGATCTGTGTAGTTAGACCGTGTAGTAAATTTTTTTTTAAAAAAAATCTTACTTTGCTTAGCATTGTACCAACTTTGTTTTGTTTTATCTTTTGTTTGTTTTTGTACAACCTTTGTATATAAATAAAGCTTGAGGGCTGGGGAGATAGCTCGGTGGTCTAAGCGCCTGCCTGACAAGCACAGGGACCCAAGTTCGATCCCCAGTACTGTATGCCACACTGTCCTGAAACTCGGTGTGGTGGCATATGCCTATAATCTCAGCACTGGGGAGGCTGAGACAGGAGGATCACTTTGAGTCTGAACTGCATAGCGAGACCCTATATCCAAAAAATGAAATTTTAAAATTATGTTTAATAAAATTTGAGAAAGTTTGAACCACACACAAAATAAAAAGACACTCAGAACATTTTATACCTTTTTTTCTTAATGAAATACAGATCTTCACTTTGCTTTGTTGAGATAATATTTTGCTGGATTGTTCGAGTTAGATTCAAATTCTTGGGCTCAAGTGGTTCTTCCGTCTTAGTCTCCTGAATAGCTGGAGCTATAGACAAACACCACTGCTCCCAGCTCAGACATTTAGCTCTCTCCCCCGACCCAGTAGCAGGGATTAAGCCCAGGACTTTGACACTGAGCTATACCCCTAGTCCATTTTTTGTTGTGTTACCTATTTTGAGACAGGTTTTGTGAAATTGTTCAGTCTGGCTCGCACTTCTCACCCTCCTGCGTGGGCCCCCGAGGGCTGGGATTGTGGGCGCGCGCTGCTGCTGTCCCCGCTCAGATCTGTGCTTCTGACGCGCTCACACCCGGCCTCGCCTGTTTTGTTTTGTGATGGTGCCTTGAAGCACCTCTCCAGGGTGACCATAAACACACTAGGTAGCCCAGGCAGGTCTTGAACTTGCGGCTGTGCTCCTGCCTCAGCCTGCCGAGTGCTGAGATTACAGGGGTGCACCATCACAGCCAGCAAAGGGAATCCTTTTCTTTCTTTCTTTTTTTTTCCCCTGTGGCCAGCTCACCCACCTGGGGGGTAGGGTTAGCCCGGCTTGTGGTGCCAGGGATCCAACCACAGTCCCCTGTGCCTGCCTACGCTTGCCTAAGCAGACACTTTAGACTGCTGAGCTATCTTACCGGCCCTTTGGGGAGGGGGAGTCATTTTCTTAGGTATTAAAGAGGAATTAGAAGATTCTTTGCAAAGTCGTAATAGAAATTGGATCCGTTCTGCCTTGTCCGCTTTCCCTCTTTTTTATAAGAACAAGTAGTACCTTGAAGCACAGTCTCATTCCAAAAGAATCTCCTGTTGTTTGACTCATATATTTTAAAGTTAAATGCATGTCTCTATTTGATTTGTAGGGGCTTTTTTCTGAAGTGTATCAAACATCCAGGTCACAAAACTGATTTGTGTTTATTCTTTAACAGTGACGAGGGCTGGTGAGATGGCTCAGTGGTCTAAAGCACCTACTTAGAACAAGCTTAGCAAAGCACAGGGACCGCGGTTCAATCCCCCCAGCACCACATGCCAGCCAGCCCCACCCCTGGTGGGCTGAGCTGGCCACACACACACACACACACACACACACATAAATAAATAAATAAAATTTAAAAAAAAAAAAAAAAACAGTGACAAGAAATTTTTTAACCTTACTCCTTTGTGCCACATCTTTGTATCTCCAGGCAACAGGAAAGGATAAATTCTCAGAGGGAAGAAATAGAAAGACAGCGGAAAATGCTAGCAAAGCGGAAACCTCCTGCCATGGGTCAGGCCCCTCCAGCAACCAATGAGCAGAAACAACGGAAAAGCAAGACCAACGGCGCTGAGAATGAAACGTATGTTCTTTAGTGATGTGCACTAAGAGGTCACACCCTCCTTTAAAGGACAGATGTCCTGTGTAATGCCCTTGGGAACAGTTTAATTTACAGAGCTCCTCAGAGTTTAAGCTTTTTTAGTCATCACTGAATTTGCTCAACTCATATACAAAAACATGTAAAATTAATTGATTTTTTTTTTTTTTAGTCTTGCAGTTTGTTTCTTTTCTTTTTCTTTTTTTTTTTTTTTTTGTGTTTTAGTACAGGGTCTACAGAGTCTCACTATATAGATCAAACTCATAGTGATCTGCCTGTGTTCAGCCTCTCAAGAGCTGGGATTACAGGTGCATGCCACTATACCCAGTCTCTGTCACTATCTCAGCTTGCCCCCGGGGTGGGGGGCTGGCAGGGCACACCAGGGATGGAACCCTGGCCACTGTGTCTGCCTAAGCAGGTACTTTAATCTGCTGAGCTATTTGGTCAACCTTCACTTCATTTATTTATTTATTTATTTATTTTTCAAGTTTATTTATTGTGTGTGTGTGTGTGTGTGTGTGTGTGGCCAGCTCAGCCCACCAGAGGGCGGGGCTGGCTGGCATGTGGTGCTGTGGGATTGAACCGCGGTCCCTGTGCTTTGCTAAGCTTGTTCTAAGTAGGTGCTTTAGACCACTGAGCCATCTCACCAGCCCACTTCATTTATTTTTGAGACAGGATTTCTCTATTTAGTTCAGGCTGGTTTTGAACTCACTGTGTAGCTCAGGTTGGCTTTGAACTCATGATCTTCCTGCCTCAGCCTTTCAAGTACTGAGATTACTGGTGTGCATCACCATGCCCAGTTTTTTTTAAATAAGCATTTTTTTTTTAAAAAAAAATTTGTGTGTGTGTGTGTGTGTGTGTGTGTGGCCTGCTCAGCTCACCAGGGGTGGGGCTGGCTGGCATGTGGTGCTGGGGGATTGAACCGCGGTCCCTGTGCTTTTGCTAAGCTTGTTCTAAGTAGGTGCTTTAGACCACTGAGCCATCTCACCAGCCCTAAATAAACATTTTGAAATGGAAGAAAAGTAATGTCACTTCTTAAGTGGCTCTAGATTATAATACATTAATATCATGTTACAGGAATTGCCTGCCTACTATTTCAAGCTGCAGAACGCTCCTTACTGCTCAAAAGAGCATTTAGTGGGGCCGGCGAGATAGCCTCAGCATAGTAAATGCCTGCCTAGGCAAGCGCAGGGACCGGGTTCGATCCCTGGCACCACATGCCACGCCAGCCCCATCCTTAGGCAGGCCGAGCCACCACTGAAACGGCGTGGTGGTGCTGGGAAGGCTGAAAAACAGGAGGATCACTATGAGTCCGAGCTGTGTGGTAAGACCCTGCACCAAAAAAAAATCTAGTTAACAGTAATAAAGTGAGGAGTAAGCCATATATACACATGTGCAACAGCTACGTGTTCCCAGTGAGCCAGATCTTGGCCTTGCCAGAATTTTTGTCTGTTCAGGAAAGCTAAAAATCTTACGGTACAGTTGTGCTTTTACGTACTGGTCGGCAGCTGTTTCACAGCAGCCACGCACGAAGGTAGCAAAGCCCGAGGACGAGTGCCGTCCTTCACCTCTTTCTCCCTCTTCCTTGAGTCGAATTTCATATCCAGAGGTCGCCTTGAAGGAGTATTTTAATATGTATATATAGTGAATAATAATATGCCTTGTCTCTTTTTTATGTTCTTATATCAGTTCCTCAAAACATACTAACCTGTAATTCAAGTATACTACTTATATTACAGAGTTGTTAAAGGCCCATGACATCTTAGAAATGTGTATTTCTTTATTCCAGAGGGAAAGATAGCTTAATACCAGTTCTAACTTCATATATGTCCTTGATATTCATTTAATGATGTGTTTTTTAAAAAAATATTTATTTATTTATTAGTATTTGGTACAGGGTTTCTACGCAGCTCGGACTCGTAGTGATCCTCCTGTCTCAGCCTTCCCAGCTCTGGGAATACAAGCATGGTCCACCACGCCCACTTTCGGTAGCCGGCTCAGGCCAGCACCAGAGACCGGACCCAAGTCCTTGCCCTTGCCAGGCACGTGCCTAGACCTCTGAGCTATCTCCGCAGTCCCTCTTTGACATTCCTTTACTAGCTCTATGCTAAATGCTTATTTTGTGGGCGGCCCAATACTGAACTAAAGATACAGCCCATCTTAGGAATTCAGTTTATTCAGGGAAGTGAAACAAATGAGTAAACTTAAATTACATTTAGTGATAAAAATATATGTATTCAAGTAAGTTTGAAAAACACTTTTGGTCTTCTAGTTGAATATTTTAAAACTGGAGTCTAAATATAGGTTTCTTTTTTGTTTTTTTTTTTAAAAAGCTCAATTAAGGGCCTACATGTGAAAGATAGTCTGAATAAATCTATCAAATCATTGTTTTCTTTCTTTCTTTCTTTCTTTCTTTCTTTCTTT